TTTCTGCCAATTGGATATCCAAAGAATAAATAGAGATCAGTGGTAGTGACAGGGAGCATCTGTAATGTTAACGTGTCTGATGAGTGATGAAATTTTACCTTACTGAACCGAAAACTGAAAAAAATCTGTTTATGGTGAACAAAGTTACTGTTAAACCGTGGTATAAAGAGGGAGAGCAGGGTAGCGTTGTGTCTCGGTCTGGTAGCCATATTCAGCTACACTACTTTTAACTCTGTGTCAACAACTGGTCATTTTCTAGAAGAGAATAACTGTTTTTTTTTGTCTAAAATCTCTATGGAAGTCATTTTTAAGATGTTCCATTTGTCATCCCCTGCCTTCCAATCATAGATCTACTTAGATAAAAAGAAGAAGAAGAATCCCTGAGACTTTTTGTGTCACCCAGTTAAATGTCAGAGCTCCGTCTGTCCTTGAAGGCAGTGCTTTCCTTCAAGACTTGGGATGATAATTTTCTACTTTAGATCGCCAATGAAACCTAAAATAATAGCACATATGTGGAGACTCCAGATGAGATCTGAATCTTAAGAAACCAGTGCAATAAAGTTCTTCTGATTGGCGTCGCCGTATGATCATGTCATAAGAAAGAGCAGGGACCTGAGCAGATCTGACTGTCACTACCTGATCCGTCCCTGAAGTATGATCCGTACCATACGCTCATTTACGCATCCAGATATACATCCGGTTCACCCTTGATTTTATTTTGTAAAAAAAAAAAAACTACATTATGTTTTCCCTCCCCAAAATAGTAAGCATACTAAAATATAATGTATTAAAGGTTAATAATGTTTTTCCTGAGGAAATAAATGCATTAAATTACTTTCTGTTTTATCACTCGACTGTGCCGGTAATGGGATCCTGTGCTACATCCGGCAGCTAACATTTTTAGCTCTGGATTTAAACACAAATCTAGTCATTTTGAGTTTTATGTTTTCCTTTCGTGTTAGCGATAATGATATACAGCACATAATCTAAAGAAAGAAACAACGAAAATGCAGACAAACATGGTTTAATCATATTTTGCCGGACTGGCCTGAGCATTACCTGTGATGACATCAGAGAAGCGGTTTAACGGAGAAAATGTAAAAAGCATCAAAATTGTCTCATAAACATCATAAAAAGTTTTTTTTATAGATGTGTATTAGCATTCTTTATTGGGTTAAGGATAGAAATAAGTAATTTTAGTACTATAATTGCATTATTTATGGCAATCCAGATGTATATCTGGTTGCGCAAATGAGCTGATGGTACGGATTGGGTTGTAACACCAACCAGCCGAGCATATCTGTTACCTACAGCAGCCAAAATGTTCTCAGTTTGTAAAAATGTCCTCACTGCAAATATTATGTATTATGGCATTTTTTTTTTTTTTTTGTCTGTATATACACCTGTAACAAATCTGTATTAATGCAGCACTTCACACTGACAGCATAAATGGAATAATCAAAGCATGAAACTAGATTAAAAACTTAAACCAGCTCCAACCAGTGTCCTCCATCTATCACCGTCTGGGACGAAAGTGTTCATAAAATGTCACCATGGTTTCATAATGTGAAGCGAGGATTCCCGTTTCTTCTTCAGGATCTTCAGATTCTCCTCCAGTTTCAGAAGGTTTCCAAACCACACTTGTTCAGGTTTATGAGTAATGTGGCTGGCAGCCAATAAATACCTGAGCTGGCTTCTTCTTTCGCCCCGGGCCGTATCTGTACCAAAGTAACTATGGAAACAACAATCATTGGGAGTCAAAGAACAGCCTAGGTCGTGTTACTAAAAAAGAATAATTGGAGGTTTACCCTTAAAGAACATTTCTAAATCGGGTTCTTTAAAGGAACATTGTGGACCTGTTCAGAGAGGATCCTCCCTCTGCTTTGACTTAATTCACTGTTATTATTTATCATCATAAAAAAAGGCACAATAAGCAGATAATTGTAATTACTAAGGCATGGATAATGTGTGTTTTAGTAAATAATCAGC